ACACTAAAATTTTTGAAGAAAGAGAAAATACTAAGTGGGGTAGCAACTCTGGTGTTCCTTTTTGTGTTAATTAAGTGTGGAAAGTATGTAGCAACAATTTTGGAATGTAGATAAGGGCATAAAGCTTTATTCCTATGTTATGTTATTTTACTATTTACCACTTTCTAATAAAAGATAAACCCATATAAAAATCATTTTTTTCATCCATTTATCTTATTTTTCTTTAGGGAAGGAAAATCTAATGACTCATATGTAGAACAGTTTATGATACAATACACAGTTCACCCATCAAGTTAATTTAAAAATGTCTATATCGTTTTCTTTTTAATGGACTTGAGAAAATGACTGGCAGAAAGAAGTAGGCATAAGGGTAGAGAAAAAATAGAAGAAGCAAAGAAAGGTGATCAGTGCATTCCAGCTGGCTAGGAACAGTACAGTATAAAAGCTGTTTCCTAATCGTGGAGGGTGCCAGGTTCTGGGAACCTGGAGCTGCAGCCAATCTTCTCCGCCTGTGGTCAGCTGTTTCAGAGCACATCCAACACTAATGTGTTCCTTGCTCAGTGAGAAAAAACAATTCTTAAATCTAATATACTCTGAGGATCGTGAACACTAACAGAAGCCTCTAAGGGAAAAAGGGAAAAGGTGTTGATATAGAAACTACTTCATCATCAGTTTCTTAATGATCACATCACTGAATCCTACAGCACAATTAACATTTCTTCAGCAGCAGATTAAGACTGGAGAAGTTAGACTTAATGACGTCTAAATACCTGAAGTGTGGCTATCAATGTACAGAGGTCTTTATGGGAAAGGAACACTAAGTGCATTTTCATCAAAATAAACTTTTTCAGTGATGCACATGAGGGTTCGTTCACATTTTAGATGCATGGAGTCAACAGCAGCTTCTGTGTGGCTTCACTGCTAATTCAAATAAAGCATCCATTTGGGAGACAGCGTCCTTGTTCACAGACCAAACAATGGCCAGTGATAAGCAGCAAGCAGCATGAAGAAAGGAGAAGCAAACTGCTTTAAATATCAAAGTTCTTTGCAGTTTTTCTCTAGAGTCAAAGTTATTTTCAAATAATTCAAATCCATGGTTACAAGTATGGAAGGAGGTCTTGAAGGGAAAAAAAAGGAAAGTGTTGAAAGGGATTCAGCACTATCCCATTAAAACCATCAACTGTGAAGGGTAAGATGGAACTGTACTCATCCACTCTGGGAGAGTTGGAAATTGTTCAGCACTGTGTACAGGTAACTGAGCTGGAGCACAGCTTAGAATTTTCTGAGGCTAGTAGTTACCATAGCAACAGTGTGTCATTGGCAGCAACCTTTCTGGAATGGAGGAGGAAGGCAATTTTGGTGTGAGAGAGGAAGATTCCAGGTTAGGTGTAGCATTTTGCCATTAGGGCCCTCCTCATTCCCCCTACTCAGAGCCTCTGCCATCTTTGTTTATTTCAATGTCCCCCCCCTTTTGGTACTGGGAACTAAACCCAGGGGTGCTCTACCACTGAGCTATACCCCCACCCTTTTTATTTTTTATTTTAAGACAGGGTCTTGCTAAGTTGCCCAGGCTGGTCTAGAACTCGGTCCAAGAATGCTTTATCTAACACTTAGCCTCTACCTGAAAGTCTGCCATCTCCTAAACTTTCCAACTGCACACCACTATGATGATGGTGAGATGACTCTCATCCTTCCCCATTCATTGGAACCTCTCACTGTTCACAGATTCATTAGTTGCAGTAGATCAGAATAGGGAGAGGGGAGGTGGTAGGAACAGTGGAATATAGGATACATATTAGTTTTTTTAAAAAAACAATAAGCTACTATAAATTCAGTACAGTGGGTTGTGATTAGCTTTTTGGTTTGGGGACTTTCTTGGGATGAGGAGAGAAGTTTGAAATAAAATACAACACAATACAGTAAAACACAATGCATCAGAGTGCCTCAAACAATGTAGGGGTAAATCTCTCCGGGGATGTATGAATGTATACGTGCACCTATCTATGGCTCAGGTCTGGAATGAAAAGCAGTTTCAAAATGTAGGTCTTGGTTTAAAAAACTGTTTGAACCTTAGTGTGGTGGCCAATGTTCCAATCCCTGAATATGTGCCTTTCTACAGTTTCATGTCACATCAGCCTCACAATCATCCACTCTACAATCATGTTGTGAATTAAAATGGTACCTACGGGATGTTAAGAAATAGAAATAGCTAAGAAATAGACACTCACCTTAGATAATATAGAAAAACAAAAACAAAAACAAAACCCAAACCCAACAAAACATTATTCATACATTGTACAATTATTAAATTATTTAAGATTTTTAATTATTAAAATCTTATTTAAACCTTTTTAAAAATACTCACATATATCTAGTGATGTCCAAATAAATCATGATGGTTGCAAGATACTTCCTTTCCTGCAATGGTCTACTGGGTTCATATTTTGACTTATTTTCTAATGTTTTGTGTTTCTGTATCTCTTAGATCTCATATTTCTGGATTGTCAACTATTAGCTACCTTCTCTGAGAAATTTCATAAATTATATTGAGAAAAAAATCTTTCCTTATACATTTCATATTTTTGGATTGGTTGCCTGAGTTTTTGTTCTTAATCATTTGCCAATAGTATTTGATTTCCTAGAAAACACTTAACTTTTCACCTTACCTGTACATCTTAGTTCTCACTTTTTTATTCTTAGAAATTATGTTTTACTTCAATAGATTTCTACAGCATCACCCCAATTCACAGTACTTCTCCTGGCATCTCTGAAGCAATCAGTGGCTGAAGCTCACTTTCAAACTTACCTCCTACAAAATTCAATCAAAGAAACCATGGCCACTGGAATATACTTCCAAAATCTACACACAGATGTGGTTTAGGCTTAGATATGTGGCCCAGCCAAATCAATCATCACACTTGAAGGCTTTAAGGAGTTTGTATCTTCAGAGGTCTTTTTTGATACACTTGGAAAATGATCTTTTTGAATATAGGTTTCATTAGAAAAGACAAAATAACATTTTTTCCCTGCTCAGTTGTTAACTTTCAAAGCATTGAACTGTGTGTGTGTGTGTGTGTGTGTGTTTTAACATTTACAATGTACTTTAAAATAGGTTAAAACTCAAAACAAAGGCATTACACCATGAAAGTGTTATAGTGGTTATGGTAATTAAGAGAAGTCTCTCTCAATTATTTATTAAGCTCATGTAACTACAGTTTCCGTGATGAGTTTAATAAATTGATGGCAACTCTTTTGTTTAGTTGCTCAGTTAAAAATTATGGAATTGCCTTGATTGTTCTTTTATTATCATATCCACATTTAACACACCATAAAATCTTGTTGGTTTCTTTCAAGATACACCCTGTTGCCAACCATCTTCATTTCCATTCCATCTCTATCTCCAGGGTGATCACTCTGATTCAATCTGTCATCATCTATCAATGGGATTACTGCAAAACCTCCTGTCTGATCTCCCTACTTTTCCTGCCTGTTCTTAACAAAATATGCATTGTGCTTCTCTGAGAACCTCAGACAGAGCCTATCATTCTTCCATTCAAACTCTGCAAGGGCTCCCCATTTCAAAATAAAGTCTAAGTCCTTATAATAATCACAATTTCTGTCCCCTGGTGAGCACATTGACTTCCTATTCTACTTCTCTGATTTCATCTATTTCACTACAGATACACTGACCTTCTTCCTATTTCTCAAACCCACCAGGCCTGAGCCAGCCTCAGGGTCTTTGTACTGGCAAGCTGTGTCTGCCTAGAATATTCTTCCCCAGGGCAGCTCTACCAGTAACCCCTATCTCCTGTCTCATTCATCTTCTCAGTGAGGACAACACTGACTAACCAAGAACAGCCACAACCTTCCCCACTCCACCAATCCAACCCTGATCTTTCCCCTTTTCACAACTATTTATCACTTCAAAAGTATTAAATTCATTTATTATGTTAATTATTTGGTGTCCATTTTTTTCAAGCAAGAATGTAAGTTCCATAAGACATGTCTGTCCATTTGTTTAAGATTATATAGGACAAAGCAAGAAAAGCCTGATTTAGGCAAAGCTTTCAGTTCTCTAAGGAACTTAGAAAGTTTAAATCTTGATCTGCCCATTTCTATCTGGCGCCTGCCAAATGCCTACACATACATTGGTCCCTGTCGTATGTTTGATAAAACTAAACAAATCTTCTAAGGAGTTCAAAATTGAAAACTCTATCTACAAAGTTGTGATATTAAAGTGAGAATGCAAACAAATTTATTTTAGGTAAGAAGGTCCCTTAGTATATTTCAGAGGTATAAGAATCAATGTTGGTAAACTGGCTCCAAATCTTTTAAAAGTGTGCATTCTCACTTTAATATCACAACTTCCTTTCCCCTTTCCCCTTTTCTTTTCTTTTGTGCTGGGGATTGAACCCAGGGCCTTGTGGAGGTACAGCAAGCACTCTGCCAACTGAGCTCTATCCCCAGCCCTAATATCACAACTTTGTAGATAGAGTTTTCAATTTTGAACTCCTTAGAAGATTTGTTTAGTTTTATCAGACATACGACAGGACCAATGTATGTGTAGGCATTTGGCAGGCGCCAGATAGAAATGGGCAGATCAAGACTTAAACTTTCTAAGTTCCTTAGAGAACTGAAAGCATCGTGGGCTTTTCTTGCTTTGTCCTAAATAATCTTAAAACAGATGGCAAAAGCAAAATATGAAGTCTGCTGCCATGGAAACCACTATCACAGCAGCACTCTCTGGAGCCCCACCTATAAGATAAATGTTTGTCTTCCTATTGTTACAAACTGAACCAGACAACTTTCACTTTAAGTACCATTAGAAGGTACAGCAACCACATATATACTGGCTGGATAAAAAGTCTTGAAAAATTAGCTCACACACAACCTTAAAAATAGTCAAAACCCTGCAGTATAGAGAAGATGATATTTACATCATTTGTTATGTTATTTTGCATTCAAAGTATACCTTTATCATATAAAACTTCACGTCTTACTTTAATATTGCAAGCCTGCTCCATCAGTCTTCTCGCATTTTCCTCTGCCCTGTATCTCTTTGGAAGCTGAACTCTGAAGAACTTTAAAGCACCTTCAAAATCAGCCTGTAGAAGATCTTCCTTTGAGGTCTGAAAAAAAATCACCAAGAATTACCATTACATTTTAGACTGCATTTGGGACATATATATTACAAAAGGAATTTCTATTTTCCTGGATATATTTTCTTAGCTAAGGTCTAAAAAGTTCCAAAAGTTCTAGAAGCTTTTCCCAATATTTAGAGGATATTGCTATAAGCTAATAAAATCACTATAACTTGTAGAAGCAATCTGAGTTAACTAATGAATTAATATTTGATTTAGACTACCTGAAGATTATAATTGTGGATCCTGGCAAAGTTTATTAAGTTACAGCTCTGAGAACAAAACAAAAAAGGAAAAAGAACTCTTGCACTAATCTATGACTTTCCCTTGATGAGCATCTTAAGGACAGGACTACAAACATGACTGAAGACACAGACCATGCCACCGAAGCCCATTAGTTACATAAGAAATGCCTAATGGGAAGATGGCTTCAACTAATGACAGTAGCAGCAGAAGAAGTAAATTAAGCCAACTATTGACTTTTTATAAAAACTATTGCTTGCAAAATTAATTTAAAAAAAAATAACCAGTTGGAAATATATATATTGATGCATTAAAAAAGACTGAAAGGGAACAAACAAAATGTATATCTGGCTGGTGGGATCACAGGTTTTTCTTTTTAATATTTGTTGTATTTTCTGCAGTAATGCGTTTGCAATAAATAATAAGTGTTCTTATAAACAACCTTTTGTGAACACCCTGATACATATTATAGATTTAGGAGGAATAGTTACCCAGAAGTAAACCAAAAAGAAATTAGATGAGTTAGAGTCAGTATTTAATTGTCAAAAGCATCAGTAATTAAAAGAAATCACGGAATTATATGCTAGTTAAAAATGCTAACTTTTGGGACTGGGGATGTGGCTCAGCAGCAGATTGCTCACCTAGCACACATGCAGGGTCCTGGGTTCAATCCTCAGCACCACAAAAATAAATAAATAAAATAAAGGTATTGTGTCCAACCACAACTAAATAAAATGTTTTTTAAAAACTGCTAACTTTATTTAACTTCAAATATAAGGATACAGCCTTTCAAATTAAAGACTGTATCAAAGCAGTATATAGTACGTGTAATTTCTGTTCACAACAGGGCTTAACTTCTTGTCATCACCACTAGGTCCAAGTCACTGGCATCTCGTAGCTTGAGCCACTTCAGTGACATCCTTCTTTCTGATCTTGCTCCCCTCAATCTACTGTCCTTATTGCCAAAAAAAAAAAATTCTTTGGAGGCAAAGGTTCCCAGTGAGCTCAGAACCCAGTCCAACTCCTTCCCAGGGAGCACAGGCCTCCTGTGGTCCCAGCCCTCCCTCCAGCATGTTTGGAACCACTGCTCCCTCCTTGTCCTCAAGACCAAGGCCCAGGCTTTCTTTCCAGTTTCTGTGCACACATCAAGTTTCTTCATTGCTGAAGGTCATTGGCTGGTTCTTCTGCCTGGCATACTTTTCTCCCAGATCTTTACAAAGAAAGCAACTTTTTGTTATCCAGATTTGGGTTCAAATGTAAGATGAACGAGGACTTAAATTCTTCCCCCACCTCATCAAGTCACTTTGCAATTTTATAGCTGTTCCCCTTCTCTCTCCCCTAAGGAAGTTTTTCTCCTCCCCCATTTCCTGTCGTGTTCACTGTTATGTCCACAGCAACAAGAACAAGGCCCCAAATAGAGGAGGTACTCAATTAAAATCTGTTACAGAATGAATGAATGAAGTCTACCTTCATCTCTCTTTTACTATGTACATATACACCAGTTTTCCTTCCTTTCTCCTCTGGCCCTTAAAGAAACACATAAAATAATACACCAACTAACACCTTGGGATGTGGCTCAAGTGGTAACGCGCTCACCTGGCATGCACATAGTCTTGGGCAGTTTCACATAGTCTTGGTTAGCCCACCTTTATATCAGCAAATTAGTAGTCAAAAAATAGAGCAGGGCCAGGTGGGGTGGTGCACATCTCTAATCCCAGCAGCTCAGAAGGCTGAGTCAGGAGAATCTCGAGTTCAAACCCAGCCTCAGCAATGGAGCTAATCAACTCAGTGAGACCCTGTTTCTAAATAAAATACAAAACAGGGCTGAGGAAGTGGCTCAGTAACTAAGTGCCCCTGAGTTCAAAATCCCCGGTATCAAAACAAACAAACAAACAAACAAAAAACAGCTGGGCTAACAGTGACAGTGAAAAAAATATAAAACTTCAGTACATCTAAGATTTATTTCCTTCCTCATAAAGACTCGTATTTGACGGCAAGTTGTGCTGGAGAGAATGTTTATCATGGTCTCAACTCACCTTAATCTAGTTGGAAAAGGCAGTTACTGGAAAGAGTCCCTCTAACTGAAACAGGAGCTGCTGGATTACTGGGAAACATCAGCTACCAGTTACACTGGACACAGCCATATCCCAGTCTTCCCTTTTCACATATAACACCAGTCCTGGTGACAGTTCTCTAGAAGTGGTTTGGAAAATTCAAGATGGGCTGCTTATTGAGCTTTTAGGAAAGAAAAGGATGAGCCCTTTCCTGACTACCCAAAGGTCTCTGAGGGCACTTGTACTTTCAGTGCAACTAACCTCTAGTTTCCTGGAAACACATGCCCCAAATGTTGTGTGTGATGGGGGCAGTGGTTTGGTTACCTAATTTTCTAATACTGTCCAAGGTCTACTTCCAAGGCCTTTGAGCTCATACAAAAGCAGAAGCCTGGGATGAAAGATGATACTATCTGTATCTGACTAGACCTCTCTCTAGTCAGAAACAGATAGTCATGTTCGCATAGATGCTGCTTGAGGTGCTGCTCAGTCCACCTCAGGCTGAATCTCAGGAAAGCAGAAGACACTGTTAGTGTTGGTGAAGCTCTGGAGCATACAGCTTGCCCAATGCAGTTAAGCCCAGACAGAGGACAGCTATGAAGAAGGGAGGCTCAGGTACACAACTGTGGAGACTTCATCTTACTCAATTCTCTACCTCAGTCTCTGGAAAATGCTTGCCCCATAAAGGTACACAAGACTGCAAATATTGGAATGAATTCATTCTAATACCAACTCCAGCTAACTCGTGGTATTACTCAAGTTTTCCCATTTTAAAAATGGGAATGTCTTTAATATCAAGTATTTGAGAATGACATAAGTTAAGGTATATGAGCATATTTCGTGAACACCAAACAAATATGAGGGATGATATTCACTAAATTATCTGTGTTGCTCGAATACTGATATTTTACTGGTGAAAAACAGTGCTCTGTTATCACTAATGTAAAGAAGGTGGCTAAGTTGTAAAAACTCATATTCTTCTGGTGGAGTGCAAGACAGCTGATTTCACTGTGAATGAAGAAAGGTTGCCAGTAAGCAAAACAATACGGGGTTCTAGAAGAACCTGCAGTCCAACTCTTAGACTGATGGGCTGTCTCCTCCAATTTCCTACCTTTAGGAGACTTCCATAATCACGAAGTATTACATCAAAAGCCTTTGCAATGCCATAAGCGGATTATAAGCTTATAGGGATAACTCTCCATTTTTCTGACAACTGTATCTAAGAGGTTTTTCCTTCTACAATTGAAGGATAGACTCTCCTTGCTCTGCAAATATTTGGGTGCTTCACTAAGGACTTATTAGAAAGTAGTAGTTTGAGTATATTTTTTCTTTCCTTTTTTTTTTTTTTTTTGGAGTTCTGGAAAATGAACCCAGGGTCTCACTCAAATACCCTCCCTCCCTTTTAAAAATATTTTCTTTTTAAAAAATATTTATTTATGGGCTGGGGCTGTAGCTCAGTTGCAGAGCACTTGCCTATCATGTGTGAGGCACTGGGTTCTATCCTTAGCACTGCATAAAAAGCTAAACAAATAAAGGCATGCTGTCCATCCACAACTAAAACAAAAAAGAAAGAAAATAAATTTATTTATTCTAATTTGTTGTACATGACAGCAGAATGCATTTAAATTCATAGTATACATATAGAGCACAATTTTTCACATCTCTGGTTGTACACAAAGTAGAGTCACACCATTCATGTCTTCATACATGTACCTAGGGTAATGATGTCCATCTCATTCCACCATCTTTCCTTCCCCTATGCCCCCTCCCTTCCCCTCCCTCCCCTTTGCCCTATCCTCAGTTCCTCCATTCCTCCCATACTCTACCCAACCCCCACTATGGATCAGCATCCACAACAGAGAAAACAAGAGTATTTTCTTTTTTTTTTTTAATTATAATTCATGTGTGTGTATCTATGTGGAAGGGTCATACATTTTCTTTCCTGACTACATATTGATGGCCCCCCTAAAAGGAAAATATTTTTTTAAAAGTTTAATGTAAGGTCTCACCACCTAGAAAAAACTCAATTAACTTTTTTTACATTACTTGTCCTTTTTTTTGCCTGATGTTTCTACACACATCGTATTCATATTTAATAAAATTAGAATCATATTGAATGTTATTTATTAAATATATATGGTTCACTAATATAATAGCAGTCTAAAATATAAGTAGCAGTGCTTTCTATGAAAATAAAACAGGCTACCAGTTTTCACAAATACGAATTATTAATAATCTGGCTATGGAGATGATAACTTAATGGTTATAATTACATTTATAATTGTCTGATACTAATCTTCTGACAACAAAAAGAGGTTTAACAGATGATTTTTGTGATTATAATGCCCAAGCTCTAAAAAGGTATCCCTAAAAGGCAGTCTAAGACTTCAAGAATCAAACCAAGTACCAAAAAGAGGTTGTACAAACTGGCTCCTGGATTACCTCTCTTTTTTAAAATTTTTTTTTCTAAATTTTATTTTTTAGTTGTAGTTGGACAAATACCTTTATTTGTTTTTATGTGGTGCTGAGGATCGAACCCAGGGCCTCGCGCCTGCTAGGTGAGCGCACTACCGCTGAGCCACAACACCAGCCCCTGGATTATCTTTATGTATCTATACTCACTACATAGAATCCTGTCAGGCTAAAGCTGATGTAAACTGGAAAGACAGTTCTTCAACTGGGAAATTCTTAGTTCTTCTATAATGTCTTCAGGATAATAAGGAAGAACAAAATAATGAAAGTCAACTACTTTCCTGACATTATTTGTTAAGTAATGTTAGCCAGAAGAGAATGTAGACAAGAATTAGGGATATTTGAATAAGCAAAGGCATATTTTCTTCCTTGTAAAATAAAGAATTCAATGTTTTAAATAAGAACTGATAAAGAATCACCTGTGAGAATCAGTGGCTCTATGAACATCCACTTTTTGCTCCTCAAACTTTTGAACAAATCCTTTCAAATAATCTGAGACATGTTTACCAACTGCATCTTCAATATATATATATTGAAATAAATATTCATTTATTTGAATTATATAAAAGATTACCTTCACAATTAAAGGCATTTAAACAAGTCCCCTTCCCCCTTTTCCCCTTCCCTTCCCTTTCCCCTTTTCCCCTTCCCTTCCGTTCCCTTTCCTTTCCTTCTTTCTTTAGTACAGGGAATTGAACCCAGGGCCTGTGCGTACTAGGCAAGCACTCTACCCCTAAACTACATCCCTAACCCTAAACAAGCCCTATCTTCTATTACTTTTATTTCCTTTCAAGAAGGTAGGAAGAAATACCCAGAGGGAAAAGATGTAATGTAACTATTGTCTGCACTTCTCTCAGTAAAATGAATTAAGCAGACTACCTGGCAAACCATAGACATCAACACAAATGTGCTCCATAAATTCATAAAGGCTCTACTTCAAGTTTACACAGCAATAAAAAATTATATAATATAAATTAGGGAGTATATTTAGAGATTATTTTGAGATGAAAGTTAATTCTTGAATTTTGAGGGGTATCAGAAGTATACATGGCAACCTCTGTGTTTGGGTCTTTAACTTCTTTTAAAAGTTGCAATGTCTCTTCAGGAAGCAATCCTTATGGTCGTGAGCAATAGAGATAAAAAGGGGAGACACTCTTCTCTATTCTTTCACTTCTGCCTAAAATTAATGTTTTAAGAAGTCTACAAACTAAAATTAGGATGCAATTTGACAGCATAAGAAATATGATCAAAATGAGATCTTATAATGGCTACTAACTGGGCAGCTAGAGGGTGTATGTGCGTGTGCATGTGCATGTGCGTGCGTGTGTGCGTGTGTGTGTGTATGTATGTTTTCTTAACCCTCCTTGGCCTGGAAGTCCTTTGAACTCACTGTGGAAAGTGCCCAAAGTGTCAGTATTGAAAGTATAGCCGACATTAATTTTAACATATAATTATCAATAATAACTTCTTATGTTGTATATAACAAAAAGAAAAATTCCAGGGGTTCAAGGACAAAATTTTGAACATGAACAGAGTAAAAGCTTTCCTTCTTTTTCCAAATCTCACACACTTACAGAGAATGCACTGTTACGTGTCACTGCTGATACCGTTTTGAATGTGTTTTTCTCACTGAAAAATTCAGCGTAAAAATCTCACATTTTAAAGTAACTTTTTTTTTTTTTTAAGAAGCACAGTTCTAACATCTGAATGTTAGCTACAGATGCTTCTATTCTGAACTTCTCACTACTCTTGGATTATAAATCTCTCCTTAAGGGCTTCTAATAGGTAGTAAATTGTTGGTTTGAACTTTCTTAAGGGATTATTAAAAAAAAACATGTAAGTGTGTTTCTCTTCCACACCTGTATTACATTTACCCCAAATGGCTTTTTCCTCCTTCAGTTATGATGTCCAATAGGATTCCTATTTAAGAAAAAATATTTTTGGAGGTCTGAGAGTCATTTGGAAGCAGAGCTTTAGAAGAGAGAGACACTACTAGCTGATATATAGGATGTTTGTATCTCCTTCTCCCATGTTTTAATTTCGATAAAAGGAATATTTGGTGAATCAACACAGGAATTGTTGATTTGTGGTTATATCTAAAACAAAGTACTTGTCCTGATTTACTAAAGGAAATGTGTTCTTTATTGGCTGCAGCTTTGAAGGGCAACAAGAAAACCCTGCAAATGTGCATCTTCCATTAAGTCAGGGGCCTCTTTCTAAGTAGGATTTACACAAACTAGTGTTCTAGTAGTCTGATGAACGGTTCCTCTGGGAATCAGGGAACAATAATTAGAGCTCAGAGTCCAAATCTACAGTGTTGTCTTGATTCTTTTTAAAAAATATTAACTTGTTTTATAATGAAAAACTTTACTGGGAATTTAAAGTAAAATAAGGTATTTGTGCACATTTTACTCAGAAACATTTAAAATAAGGCTAAAAACGCTCACATGTGTCTTAAACTTTAGTGCTTATTTTTGTGACTGGATAGAAAGTGGGCAGCACCACACGTGGCAGGATTCCTCTTAGGACCGCCCTGTGCAGACTGGCCACTGACCAACAACAGCACCAGGCCGACCAAGTCTATGTGCCCCTGGAACACATGCCAAACTTGAGCAGTTACTCATTGGATAGCAGATCCAAATTCACAGCAATATTGCTAATTAAAGGGCATGTGACTTCTCAAAATGTTGACTACCCTGGTTCTATCAATAACCCTGTGAAAAGCGTGTGACTGTCTATAACAAGGCCAGAGATTTCCAAAGGGCCTCACAGACAATTCAGCACACGCTTTTCACACATAGTGAAGTGGCTCTGAAGATTAAGAGTCTGACACAACCTGAGGGACGCGCGACCTCAGATGCCTGATTTCGCAGCCAGACTTGGCACAATTGCCACAGACAGCTAGGGAGGACCTCCCAAAGACCTCAGCCTGGGAACCCAACTCCTTGTGGATTTCATTGCTGATTTTTTTTTTAAACTAGAGGCAGTTAAATTCATACCCAATGCAGATTTGAGTATGAGAGATAATTTTAGTTATCAATGTATGTTTTCCTTCAAAACCTGAAAACTTAAATGCCAAAGAGAAGCAGCACCAGATGATTGGAAAGTCACCAGTAGAAGCCCTTGAGTCACAAAGTTAAGCAATCTCTAAGATATGGAAATACATCACACCAAGCCTGATTCCTCAGAGATGCAGAGAATTTGTTGAAATGTACCTTGGCACTTGATAGTGTCAAAATCCCTGAAATAAAATGAATCATGACTATTCAGTTTTCTCCTTTACTAATAAAAAAATGTGACTCAGGGAAGTAATGATTTCACCAAGGTATCAAAACATATGTATTTGGCTTTCAAACATTCCTTCCTTAAATGGAAAAGGAACTATATTTCTCAAAAGATAACGTCCCTGAAATTGCATGCTGGCCATTGCATCTAACTTCATCTGGCAAAGATCAACAGACTTTCTTGAGGGTGGGAAATTCCTTACATAAATGGCCACCTACATGTCTGTTGCAATTCCACTGTAAAGACGATTTAACACATATCCTTGAAGACTGAGTTAATATAGCTATAAAGACAAGTACAAGCAGAGATGAACTATCCTGAAGGAAGATACGTGAGAGCAAGAGTTAAATTCAGTCAAGTAAATACTGTACTGAAGAGCCTCGGATCTGAGAGAACCCTAACAAGGGAACAGTCTGGAAGGGCATTAAACTCCATTCGGTAAAAGAGACGAACCTGAACTATTCGCCTTCAACTACCAAATAATGGTATAGGACTACCGCAGACCAATTACATTATAGAATAGTTGCTAGGTATGGTTCTCAAACCACTAAAGAGAACCCTGCAACGGTGATTGTGGGTATTTAATTTTAACCCTTGATAGGATATGAGGAAGGATGATTTTCTCTTGTTCGAGAAATCAAATAACAAGCAAGCCTGACTTCCCAGACTCACAGCACAGACTCGGCAGCTTTCGGCTGCTTTACAAACACACAGTTCAGTCATTCCAGGAGAGAAACCTACGATTCCCTACCCATGGATATTTAGGTCGTAAAATTCCCTACCAAGAGAAAAAAAAATCAAATTGGCAACCAAATGGGGAGGTTAGAAAGCAAGCCACACAAAGTCTCGATGTGTGGCTATGTCTGTTGTAAAATTTAACCCTTTGAAGACATAAATAACAGAATGCCTATAGCAAGCACTTGGGCATTCTGCTTTATTGCTGAGCCTAGTCATTCGGAAAATAATTTTTTTTTTTTTGCTTCCATAGAGATAATGCCACTAATGTGACCCTGGGCTCTGAGAAGAGAGCCATGGTTTCCTCCAGCCAATTAAGGAGTGGCATGGACCAGGCTCCAAAGGAGCAGCACAGCAGTGGCCACTTAGCCCTTCTTTCTCAGTAGAAAGGGGAGAAGGGGAAGAAAACAGGAGATCACAAGCCTCCTCCAGGGATACATTCTCACAGAAGACAGCAGATTCTCTACAAATGAAGTTCAGTGAAAAACAGTCTCACCGCCAGAAGCCGAGGCACAAACAGCCGATGCCCCATCCCCAGAAGTTCCAGCACCCGGCACGCATACTCATTCACCAGCTTGCTCCTCTCGTCGTGCATGTCCTGGGACTTTTTGACAGGAGGGGTGAGCTTCGCAGCTGGGGCTGGGCAGGGCACCCCTTCTTCCATGAGCAGTAAGTAGGTATCCAGAATGAGAAAGCTGGGTCTCTTATCCACAATCTTAAGAACTGCGGTGGGAGGGGAGCCAGGCTGATGTCTCCCCAGGAGGATGCACAGAACAGTCAGTGGTGGGAATTGTCAGCTAATGTCGCCACGAGAAAAACATCTTGGCTAAATTATCCACTGAGCAAGAGCCCCAAAGTAGACTAAAAATGAAAATGGAATCAAATGCTGATCTAAATAAAAAATGGCAAAAACAACCAAATGCAAGAAAATGGCCAAGAGTGATGCAGGAGTTCAGACACACGTGTGAAAGCGGACAAGCTGCTTGGAAGGTCTGGCACGTTCCAGTGTATGTGTGTGCTATGTGTGTGTGTGTGTGAGAGAGAGAGAGAGCGTGTGTGTCTATCTCTGCGTGTGAGGACAGGAAGCCAGGGCAGTTGTGAAGCTGCAAGGAGAAAAGGATGAGCTCATTGCAATCCTCGATTCGTGACAAGCAGTGCTGCTGCTGCCACTGCTGCTGCTGCTACTGCTGCTCTGCCTCTTGCTGTGAATCAGTAATGAAGGGGTAAGAAAGGAAGGGGAGGGAGGAGGAGGAGGAGGAAGGTGAATGAGCATGCAGAGTGTGTCTCAAGGGAGAATGCTGTAATAAGAAGCCAATGGCGAGCCTTTGGACAGATGCGCTTCCCCATCTCAGTCTACCTTCAATCAGTGTTAGTCTGACAGCTTATGCTGTTGGATCTTAAACCCACAGACGAACGAACTAGCTTCTCCTAACGTGTATCGTTCACAGAAAAAATCAGACAACCAGCCATCTAAAAGACTGACCTATTCACTCTTGCTTTCTAACAAGGAGAACAGATAAAAGTCTGATCTCATTCCATGCGTTTAAAGCGGGAAGCTCAGATCCTTGTTAGATCACTGAAATCTACAGAAGAGCAGCTAGGGTAGAATGACAGAATATGAACAGAAGAGCAAGGACCCAGCATTCAAGAGACACACCCTCAAGCTGAAGTGTTTATGCAATAATAATGACTTTTTGCAGTGCCAGGATGTACAACAGCATTCCAGCATGCTGGAAGGCAGGCCACAATTCAAAGCAAGATTTTTCCACATACAATATGATAAAATATAAAAATCTACAATATAATATTAAGAACAGACATATAAGAAATTACTAAAGTTGAGAATCTCAAAGCAAAAATAACTTTCTTATGCCATAGACTCTAATAACAACAGCAGTTTAAAACACTGTTTTGATACTCTCTGGTCAAATTAATCCTTCCCCAGCAATGCTGCTAAAATCAGAAATTAAATGTAGTTTAACATTTTACAATCTTTATGCTAAAGTGTTATATCAATTTCTCTGATGCTAGTAATAAGTTGTAGCCAATTAAAAGCAAAAGGACAAGATGACCTTTAGGGACAGTCTCTTAACTTTATGCGAGCCATTGAGTACTTAATGTTTGGCATCTTGATTCTGAAATTTGTAATTGGGCTCATAAACACCAAAACAGAATATTCATGCAACTTTTAGCATGGTACAAGGAATAATGGGGTAAGAGGCTAGAGCAAGTTATTTCTGAGTCTTAGTTTTCTGTTATGACAAAAAAGAGCTACAAATCCGCAAGTAACTAAATAGAAACAGATTTATCTTAGTGCAAGATATAGATTAATTATGGAATTAGGATTAAAGAGATATAGGAAAGCAGATATTGCCTCCATTAACAAAATAATGTTTGGTTTCTTATTTGTTTGTTTGTTTGGTATGAACAATAAACCCAGGAGTACTTAACCTCTAAGCCACATCACTAGTCCTTTTTTATATTTTATTTTGAGATAGAATCTCACTGAGTTGCTTAGGGCCTTGCTTAAATTGCTGAGGATGACCTTGAATTATCAATCCTCCTGCCTCAGTCTCCCGAGCTACTGGGATTACAGGTATGTGCCACTGAGCCCAGCTAGTGTTTGGTTTTCTTTTTCCAAAATCTCATGAAAAATAAAAACTTAAAAAAATATTTAAAATATTATTGAACAAAATGTCTTAAATGAGATATTGATAGAGTACCATCAAGACTTTTATTTCTTCCAAAACTAAAAACCATACAAATTAAAAATTTTATTAATCAATGGTCAAAAGTATTAGAATAGTGTGTGTGTGTGTGTGTGGTGTGTATATTCCAAGTCCCTAAGGTTTTGGAGGAAACCTCTGATGGGCTGCCTAGGGTTGGGGTAGGTTTTATTAGAACTGGGAGACTGGGCCTTTCACACTACACACCACACACACATATGCACACACCACACACATGTGGCACACAGCACAGCTCCATTTTTACTTTGCACACTTTCATTCTGTTTTAGATTCTGTTTGAAAAGACTGCTGCTGCAGGATTAGGGTGAGGAACACAGCCATAGACATCTCACATTTAGGAACAAGGGAGCAGTTTGAAGGCAAAGGAAGAACAGAGCAACTTCTTAGCTCACAGGGTTTTCTCTGATCTGCTTTTTAAAGGGGGGGTGCCGTTTTTGATCTGACTAGCTAGGCCCCACAAAACACTTTCAGAAACATTTATATAAACCAGAGACAAAGAATTTGCACAAAATGATTCTGGTAAAAAGAAGTAATGATTAATCAAATGATTTTAGAAATGTATGGTTTGGCCTTGGTGCTCAAAAAAGAAGTTAAAATTATATGGACTAAGTATTGAATGTAGTTATTAAATATGATACATGTTTGTGTGTATGTGTAGCACTAGGGATTGAATCCAGGGCCTCTGTGTGCCAGGCAAGCTGTCTATCATAGAGCTGTAGCCCCATCCTTCTCCCACCCCACCCCACAATTTTTTTTTTTTGAGACAGGGGCTTACTAAGATGCCCAGGCTGGCCTTGAACTTGCAATCCTCCTGCCCCATACTCCTGAGTAGCTGGGATTATAGGTTTGTTATATCATACTTGGATTAAATTATCATACCTAGTAAGCAAACCAGTAGTTACAATATTTAGGCACATGTAACAGAATGCTATGTAAACGGTTCTATAACAGGTGGTCATGAATTTCAGAGGCCCTAATCCCTTCACAATGTTGCTCCATAAACATCCATCATAGGTACCTTTAAAATTTCCACAAGTTTTCAGTAATGGTCCTATTTTCAGAACAGGATGATGGTTAACATCAAATAACTCTTTAGAACCTCACAGTGAAATGGAAGAATGGATTCCAGGAATTCTTGAAGCCCTTAAACAATTACCCTCACCTCAGTATTTATTCCTTTTTCTCCCAAGCCCCCAATAGTTTATTTATTGCTGATGAGATTCAGCATTAAATCACAGAACACTTCTGAGGAAAAAATATTAATTACAAAGTAGTCTAAAAATGGGATAATAAAAACTCTTCTGAATTAACCAGTTTATAATACCCAAATTATCTTACCCTATCATAAAAGAGATTTAATTCTGAAAGTTCAGTTTAAAAGCAAGTCAAAGATAATATGTGAAATCTGGATAAATCACCTATAGAAGAAGAAAACCATTTTCTCTCTGTTCTTTTAGGTGCTCTGCCTTGGGTCCCACATAAGTCTGATCAAAGACAGTCTGAGGAGAGGAAAACCACAGCAGTCCAATACATGCAGTGTGCGGATAGGAGAGATTCAGTAACGAGCAGCTCAAAAAAGCAATTAGATCTTGAGCTTATACAGCATCTCAACAAAGAACAATAATTTTGCAGAGAAGTGACAAGACAAACAAAGGAAAAGAACTTTGAGCTTCTGGCGTGACAAACTGTACACAGCAGGGAAACTGACGTGCACAAGGGCTGCTCAGGTGAGGCTGTCTGCACAGACTGTTCGTGGAGACTGTCAGAACCATCTCATTTCCACCAACAGGGCTCTTAACACCTTTCTGGTCTGGGAGATGTGTACTCAGGGCTGGGGGGCACCTTCACAGGGTCACTAGTGTTCTACTCTGAGGCAGAGACAGCTTGTCCTGTGCCTCCTTCTTCTCAACTGTCTCTAGCTCAAAATAGTCCTTATAAAGAACTGGCATATTTTGGGGTGGCACACTCTGAACTCCTTCACACCCAAAGAGAGTGACTAAGAGAGGGCCAGCAACAGTCCAAAAGCCATGGCCTACGGACTCACACTGACACTCTCTGGCATGATGGAAGCAGGCGGTGGTGCAGTCCTGATTAGAGTCTTGCGCTGAAGAGTGTTCTTCCTGTGTCATGACTCCACTGTGTCATGACTCCAGATCGTGTTCTGGACACAGTACATTTCCATTGTAAATATAAAAAGCATATCTAACTTAATTCACAAACCCATAATTAAGAACTCATACACCTCCCCAATAATAATCATGTTAGGTTGTTCATTCCATGGCTACAAAGATGTAAAGGAAATACTTTCCAACCTGCAGTGAAGTATCCAGAGATAAAACAAGGTGTGCCAAAAGGAAGGACATGCTGCCTGCCACAACCTGGGCGTGCTGTGGCCATCCACAGCAGGAGCAGAGGTAGGCTTGAGCTGGTGGGACAGGCCTATCCCAAAGCTATGAGGAGTGAGGATTAGATATCTTTAGGAGAAAAATAGGACGTTGCTAATTACACCATCTTTTAGTTGTATTTACTAGCTAAATGACAGGGCAGTTACTTAACACTCCCTCAAGCCTGAGTAGAAAAGCAACATCACCTACCTGGCCCAGATGCTGTGAAAATATAATAAGTTGTGCCCATAAAAGAATCTCTCAGGGATTGGAGCTGAGTGGAGCTCAGTGGTACAGTGTTTGTCTAGCATGCTCAAGGCCTAGGATTAAATCCTTACCACCACCACGAAGAAGGAGAAGGAGAAGAAGAAGAAGGAGAAGGAGAAGAAGAAGAAGGAGAAGAAGAAGAAGAAGAAGACTCACACAGTGCACAGCACAAGGCAGATACTCAGGAATCACTTGTTTTTTTCATTCTTACCAGCAAGTCATACAGAAGAGAAAATGTATAAAATGCACTGTGTTCATTTGGAATAGGGTTCAGAAAGATGAGAAGGGCTCTGGATATCCTAATAATAGGACAGTCAGCCAAATACAGATAGAACATGTTACTAGGAGACCACCTGCCTCTTCAGTTCACTCTTAAGACACAGACATGTTAACAAGAGGAGCAATGCTTCTCAGGGATGAGAAGGAAAGAGTAAATGTCCTTCCCTAGCTACTAGTTCTTCATCAGATGGGTGACTTTTTCAAAAAGGAAAACTCAATGATTTGTTAAGTTCCTAAGAGCCAACAACAGGCCAGAGAGGCATGACACAGTAAGTAGCCTGGGTCTCTTAGTGCTGTGGGTGCCTGCGGAAGTCACACTGGCTCTTCCAGTCAAAGTCTTAATTCTGTTCAGTGCTGTGCTATGGGATCCTGGATACAGAAGGAAACAGTAGACTCTGCTTCTAACTTTATAGGTTATCCAAAGCACTTGAAGAAAAGATTGAAATGAAATGTAATGATACTGAGCTCAGACATCATCTCCCAGGAAAACGTGTTTCATTATTTTACAGTTGGAACTCATATGTGGAAGAATCAGAGCACAAAATAAAGATACTACATAATTAACTGGCACTGTAGTGGGGCGTTCAGGTTATAGATCTATAGGAATTTGAAGAAAAAGCATGTTCCTATAAAACCCCGTAGACTACTGGGTGTTGTGGGGAAAGCACTGATCTCTTGTGAGACTGATGTTATGACAGTTCCAGGAGGGATGTTGTTTGCTCTTAAAGAGAAGACAGCGGTTTCCCCTTCCCAAAGTGATATGATAGCATTCTGAGCAGACCTGGCAGCATCACCAACACCTCATTTCCTATCCTCGCGATCAGATTCATGTGAGAACTTCTGCATCCTTGTGGAAAGGTGATCGATCACCTTATCTGTTTCACATCTACACTGACTAGTAGCTCAGGAGCCTACCTGTTTTATTACTACACATTTATGTTTATTAGAAAAGAACTACACAGAGTAAGCCAGAAATCCAAAGTTTCTACTTAGTGGATTCAGTTATCTATCAGTATCTGTAACTGCTTTATTGAGGCATGATTGGCATACAGAAAGTTATAGATATCTGTGGTTAGGGGACAGAACCCAGGGACGCTCAACCACTGAGCTACAACTGAGGCCCATCCACTCCACACATTTTTTTTTTTTTAATCATGAGACAGGGTCTCACTAGGTTGTTGAGACTGGCCTTGAACTTGTGATCCTCCTACCTCAGCCTTCCCATTCACTGGGGTTACAAGTATGTGCCACCTCGCCAGGCTTAAGTTGTAGGCAATTAATGTATAGGGTGTATACTTGTGTAATATACTCTTATACATTTGAACATAAGTATACATACATGAAACCATTATCTTTATCAATGTCAAAACTTAACCTTCATCTCCACAGATTTTTTTTCTGTCCCCACCCCTTGGTTTCTTTTGTGGTTAGAGCACTTAATAGAAGATCTACATCAGTAATATATTTTATAATAACAGAATAAGTATACTTCTTTTTTCCATGTGACATTAATAGAATTATTTGAAGACAGTCTTAATTTTCTTTTCTCTAAGCTAATCATGTCCGCTTCCAAATCCATCTTCTCCGAGCTAATTTCTAGACCATTCCAGACACAATTCTGTCTGCTGCCCCAAGTATACACTTGTTTAGATAGTGTCCCTCAATACAGTGTTGCCCACAATGGAAAAAATACTCTAGATTTGATAGCAGAATCATAAAATAATGGGATCTTGTTAGACTCTAGAAAATATCAAGGTCTACAACATGTCCATCCAGTTGCTGAAAAGACTGAGGCAGCTTGCCATCATAAAAACTGTAGGAGACGGAGCCAGGAAGGCAAGATCTCAAAGTGCAGAAGCACAGCATGGAAGCCAGCACTTCCGGCACTATAATTTGCTACCTTTCAATTAATACAGTTTCTAAAAAATTATCTTATGAGAAGGACTATCCTTCACCATTTTTTCCACACATAACTGGTCCAGAGCATGTGCCTGCCACCTGCTGTGAAAGAATCTAAAATTCACAGATTTGAGCTGAGGTGGAGTATCCCCAAACCTGCCTCGAGAACAGTGACTTTTAAATACACATTTGTGATAATAAAGCACATGTGCCTTTTCAGCTTTTGAGTGGCAAGTACTCTCTTCTGCAACCAAACAGTTCAAGCAGCTTCTCCCTTGGCAGCTCAGCTATAGTGTCAAATGTAAGAGCTGCTTTCTTGAAGCCATGCTTGTGACACAGGCGTGAAGAGGGAATGCGGTCTCAGGTCTCTCTCTCTCTGCCATGGACAGTGTATACAATGCTCACAAGCATTTCAAGCGTGAGCAGCAGGGATAAACATATGTCAGTACAAGCCTGTTTTTTAAAATTTTAAATTGATCTCATTAAAATGAAGACATATAGAATCTAACTATTCCTTGATCCCCTAAGCTAGATCAGCATTTTTTAAATCTTCATGTATGTGTTTTGTTATTGTTTTTTTTTTAAAGAGGTGCTGTATTCATCTTGTGAATTGCCTCTTCCTTCTAAGGCTTATCTCTAATTTTCTATTAAATTCGCAATCTGTGGCATATTCATGTTATATAGAATGCTAGTTGTAGTATACCAGCTGTCACTATGAAAATATTATTTTCAGCAAAGGAGTTATATGGGTTAGCCCATGTATTAGCAATCGAATTTGTTTCTAAAAAATGAATATGTCAAGATGGGAGCCTTGATATATTAAATGGACAAACCACATTTTGAGACAAAGTGGTAATAGATTGCACAGCTTCCCTCTCTCCTCCCAACAAATATACATCCTAATTCAGTAGAATGGTAGAAGTGGCAAATGGCAAGAGTGGAGATGACCCCCTCACTCTGTGAGCTCAGCACTTGTACACACTCAGTATTGCTATAGCAATCTGACAAGGCAATGGGTGAATGAGTGTACATGGGCTTCTTTGCTTCACAGATGCTTTTATGTATCTCATGCTTGCAAGTGCTCCAAGTGGAGATTAAGATAAAAATCTAGTGACTAAAAGTATGAATCATCATTACTTTAAAAAATTTTTTTAGTTGTAGATGGACATTTATTTATTTTTATGTGGTGCTGAGGCTCGAACCCAGTACCTCACCCATGCTAGGTAAGCGTTCTACCACTGAGCTAAGCCACTGTCCCCCATCATTACTTTTTTTTTTTAAGGTGGACACAATATCTTTATTTATTTTTATGTAGTGCTGAGGATGGAACCCAGTGCCTCCCGCATGCCAGGCCAGCAAACTACCACTTGAGCCACATCCCCAGCCCCCACCATAATTATTTTTATTCAGGGTTTGTAAGAACCATGAGCTATCTGAGTACTTCCCAACATTTTATCATAGCAATATCTGTGCCCATTGAACTTACAAGTTAAGTGACTTGCCCAAGGATATGTAGCTAGTTATGGGGCTCAGGATATGCCACCCCAAAATATGTCTCTTGGCATATTGAATATTTTACACTGAAGAAATTTGAAAAATAACAGGAAGGATGATTCTCTGCCCTAGTCCCCTGAAGCAAGTCTTAAGACCCACGTAGGAGGGAAAGGAGCATCATTATCTCAGAGGATGAAAGGGTGTTGAGAGAATCTGAATGAACACGTTTGTTAACCCACTTTATCACCCTTTGTCCTATCACAGTTCACCCTCTCCATTCTTTACCAACTCTGGTGTAAAAATGTTCGAGTTTAACCATTCCTTTGGGTCTTTATTTGGGGAGTGAGGGTACAGCCCCTGCAGGAAGTAATGTATTTTGTTTAAAGGCCCCTGGGTCATGTAAAACATATTAAACACATTTGTATGTTTTTCTTGTTACTACCCTTAACCTCAGGCTGAGAAGCGATATGTTTTTTTCTCTTGTTAATCTGTCTTCCTGCAGGGGCCCTGGCCTGAATCTGGAAGGGTGGAAGAAAGATACTCTCCTACATTATAGCTACAATGACATTTTTTAGATAACTACATATATTTAAGTGTTTTAAATATAACTTAAATTATTTGAAAAAAAATGAACTTGGAATTAAACAGGCTAGATCCTAGGGGACATGAGACCATTCACCTAGGTACATAATTATGAATATACTGAGAAACTAATATATCTTGTGTTCTGAAAGACATGACAAAAACAAAAAGAAAACTAAGCAAAAACTTGGGCTCAAAGAGCAGCATCTGTACCCTGGTGATCTTACCCATAACTTCCTTCTTAATTAATACCAAACAACCCAATCATGAGACCAGCCCTCTCTCCAGAACTCCCAACCTATATATCTACCTCCTTATTGAATATATGTAACTAACCTCAACATGCTCAAAGTTACCACACCTCATTCCACCTGTTCCTCCTCCTGGTACCTCGTCCACCCAACTACCGAGAAGACAACTGGGTACCATCCTTGCATCCTTTTACCTCCATCTATACCTAACCCATCACTCAGGACTGCTTGATTCAACCTCCTCAGCGTCTCTCTAAAAGATTCCTTCCTCTCCATTTCTATCACTTCTGATTTGAGACCAGCCCTTAGTGTGTCATGAAAGATAGACCTCCACCATTCGCAATATTCAAGTTACTTGAAGTTAACTTTACAAACTAGGTGACTGTATGTCTCCATACCTATGTTCATGTTTTCTTCTTTCCTTGAACTGTGTTTCTCCTCCGATTGATTTGCCTTTTCCTGATCTTTCAAGACTCAGTTCCTGGGCATTACTTCCTGCAGGGGTTGTACCCTCACTCCCCAAATGTGTGGCATGTGGCCCTCCTGTCTGCCCCGTTTCTGTCCATGCTGCCTATCTCACAGCACAATCAGACCTGTACTTGAACGAGTAGCACCAAGGCCAGTGCTTAGGGTCATTCTCTCTTGTGAAGGTTGTAGGAATAATAATAGGGTAAGAATACCAGGTATTCTCTCTCTCTCTTTTTTTTTTTTGTCCTAAAAGCCCAGAAGAGGCGCTACTGAACATGCAGTGGCATTCCCTATAAATGTTCGCTGAAATAGTTTGGCATTCAAAATGGATAGTCTTACTGTCCATGGAAGAGACAGATAAGCATCCTTCTGATTAGAGATGTTATAACACTGACCGATCCTTTTGGGAATTTGTCCTTGGCAGAGTTACTTTTGCTTTCCTTCTCTTGCCCTGCATTCTAGATTCTAAAGAGAAGTCACATCTAAATGATTAGGATGTTAGCTGCTAATTAATCTTCCTTTAGATTTACGGAACCCAGGACATCTGATGTCCTTCAGATATCACTGGAAGATGTAATGCCCCTTCTTAGTTTGTTTGTTTATTTTTGGTACTAGGGATTGAAGCCAGGGGTGCATAATCACTGAGCCACATCCCCAGCCCATTTTTTTTTTAAGAGAGAGAATTTTTAATATTTATTTTTTATATTTCAGCGGACACAACATCTTTGTTTGTATGTGGTGCTGAGGATCGAACCTGGGCCCCAGGCATGCCAGGCAAGCACGCTACCACTTGAGCCACATCCCCAGCCCCCATTTTTATTTTGAGACAGAATCTCATTAAGTTGCTGAGGCTGGCTTTGAACTTGCAATCCTCCTGCCTTGGGCTCCTGAGCCATTAGTATTATAGGTATGAACCACTGCACCCAACCTTTTATTTTTTAGTTTTGTGCATCAACTAATACAAGTATGTAAATATGGCTGGGAGGAGTAATTTGCAGAGAAGTGATATCTGCCTAAACAAACACAAGAACCAGAAGACCAAGGTCCAGTGTCCAGTGCTGGCCAGAGAAGAAGGGGAAAGGAGGCCAAGTCCTAAATGATGAAGATCCTACCCAGAAAGTAATCTTTCTGCCCTCTGCCACTGCACCTCCCTATATAACCCTTTTTGTGTACCAGAGTTCCCCAAGATAGTTTTTAATGGTAGGTAATAAATGTCCACCCTGCTATCCTCCAAGGTACCAGTCCTTGAACAAATCACCCCATCTCCAGAGAATTGGCTTTCGCGTGGCAAGCAACTATGCCTAGGGCTGGCAGCAGTACTGGTACTTTAATGCCTCTGAGTCTTTTAAAAGGTTTTTCCCTTTTTATAGAATGTTCTCCTCCACCATTTTTCCTTGAAAATGTTGTCATAAAAAGAACACAAGCTGGGATGCCAGAAGGACCAGGGTATAAACCCAAAATTTGATGTCTAGTACCTATGTGACTTCATCAAAGTTAAGTAACCTCTCTGAGTCTTATTTTTCATTAGTTAAATGATGTTAATAATAGCAATCATATGAAGTTGCTTAGTTATCAACATCTGTGACATTGTTTTTTAAAAATATTTTATTTATTTAGTTGTAGATGAACACACAGTATCTTTATTTATTTTCATGTGGTGCTGAGGATTGAACCCAGTGCCTCACCCAAAGGCAAGCACTTTACCACTGTGCTACAGCTCCAGCCCCATCTGTGACATTTTTAGCTTGGTAAACTAGGATGATAGAAAAGGAATTAATAGCCTGCCAAAGTGCTATGAAAATTACTTAAAATTGAAAACACCTGGACAACCAGCAGCTGTAGAAAAAATATTATCTAAATATAAAAGATCCTCCTGAAAATATAGCTGCCACTGACCACTTCTAAGGAGTTTCCCAATTGAAAAAAAGCCTCAGTCTTAACAAGAAATGAGAATTCAGTTATCCATTAGCATCAAAAAGCCAACTAAAACATACTACACTTTTCCTATTTAAGCCCTTGGCTTTGCCTTCCCCCTTTTCATCACATTATATATAAACACCTCTCTCTGGCTATCAGAGAGTTACTCATTACTGAGCATGCACAGTAATGATCCAGTCTTTCTCCTGTCAATCTGTCTGTTGTCTGTTAGTGATCAGGCCCCCATTCATTCCAACTCAAGATGGTGGGGAAAAGTTGTCTTCCCAACCATAATGAAGGCAGTAATAAGCAGGCAAGAATAAAGGGAAATCACTGAGGACAGAGAAGAATAGAAGATAAATGGAGTTAATAAGGAATATGTGGCAATGGACTTATTCATTTATTCTGGTACCAGGGATTGAACCCAGGGGTGCTTAACCACTGAACCCCAGCCTCAGCCCCTTTTTAAATATTTTATTTTATTATTATTATTTTAAAATTTTTTTT